AGTGAGTCGGTCAGTGAGTCGGTCAGCGAATCAGTTAGTGAGTCAGTCTGTGAGTCGGTCAGTGAGTCGATCAGCGAGTCGGTCAGTGAGTCAGTCAGTCAGTTAGATAGTGAGTGAGTCAGTCAGTCAGTGAATCAGTCAGTGAGTCGGTCAGTGAATCGGTCAGTGAGTCAGTCAGTGAGTCAGTCTGTGAGTCGGTCAGTTGTGAATCAGTCAGTGAGTCAGTCTGTGAATCAGTCAGTGAATCAGTCAGTAAGTCAGTGAGTCGGTCAGTGAGGCAGTCAGTGAGGCAGTCAGTGTGGCAGTTAGTGAATCAGTCAGTCTGTGAGTCAGTCAGTGAGTCAGTTAGTGAGTCAGTCAGTTAGTAAGTCAGTCAGTGAGTCAATTATGAGTCAGTCAGTGAGTCAGTCAGTAAATCAGTCAGTTAGTCGGTCAGTGAGGCAGTCAGTGAGGCAGTTAGTGAATCAGTCAGTCAGTGAGTCAGTCAGTTAGTCAGTGAGTCAGTCAGACATGAGTCAGTCAGTGAGTCAGTCGGTGAATCAGTCAGTGAGTCAGTCAGTGGATCAGTCAGTGAATCAGTCAGTGAGTCAGTCAGTTGATAAGCCAGTGAATCAGTCAGTCAGTCAGTTGATAAGCCAGTCAGTCAGTCAGTGAGTCAGTGAGTCAGTCATGAGTCTGTTAGTCAGTCAGTGAGTCAATCAGTGAATCAATCAGTGAGTCCCTCAGTGAATCAGTCAGTGAGTCAGTCGTGAATCAGTCAGTGAATCAGTCAGTGAGACAGTCAGTGAGTGAGTCAGTCAGTCAGTCATGAGTCAGTCAGTGAGTCAGTGTTGTTTCACGCCGTTTTGTACAATATTTTAGTGATATCCCTGCCGCTTCATAAGAAAATACATTAAACTATGCTACTTGTAACAGTTACTACCGTGCCTAGTGATGGACAATACGGGTCAACAAGGACTGATCTTCTCGAAGTCAGTTCATTGCGTATGGGGTATCCATTTTATAGTGCGGTATGATCAAAATTTGCTAAAACGTTATGAGTTTCATCTTTTAAAGATTTATGTTATGCACGTTGAGTAAAGGAGAAAGCACGTATTTTATAATTATTTTACGTCCGTTTCTGTTATTCTGTCAACTGGCATCCATACAATTCATTTACAGACTGCACATGCCGCTATTTCACATAGTTCCACAGTCTAGCGTCATGCCGCTATTGGCATTTACCGTTCTTTAGCGAACAGACCGTTTGCCCGGAGGACGAAAAGTTTCGGTTCGAACGGAAATGTCAAACCAAAACATATCCAATGGTATTGGTATACTTCCATGTTAGAATGTTGGCATCTGACTGGTTCATAGTGTATCCTACAAAAATTTGTAAAGGGAGTATAAACACCATTTTGCTTACAGTCAGTGTCTGGGGTATTTGATGTTAGAGACACGTTAAACACGAGCATATGCCTGTGTGAGGTGAAGGTGCATGAATATGGATGGATGTTATTTTGCGAATCAGGTTCGTGGCATATGATAAAACCAAAAATCTTTGTTGATCCATATTCATACTGTATGTTCGTTGAGTATCTGGATGTATTTTATTACAACAAAATACATTCTGGCTGAAATGAGAAGCAAGGTTTACAAAGTATTGCCACAGACCCGGAACTCCTCTACTTCTACTCTGCTGTATACTTGAAGGACAACGGACAATCAGCCATCTTCTCCTCATACAACTTGTCGAACCACTCGTTCTGGGCCACGGTGAACCAGTTCTTCCAGTGACCAACTTAACCTTAAACAAAACCAGCGTGGTCAAAAACACAGAGATGAAACTCTTGTACACACAACGCATGAGGCGAATACTGACCATGAATATATATGAATAAATAAATGCATTTCTTAATACACATAGATTGGCTTCACAAGTGTGAGGTTTCATCGGAATTACTGCATGTGAGCAACTTAATATACTCATGCCAATAATGGTTGTCACCCCTTCAAATTTTTATTGGAGAGGGGGTGCGGGTGGGGTGTGGGGTGTTGGGGTTGGGGATGGGGTGACAACCATTATTGGCATGAGTATATAATTATCACGGACAGTTTTCGTCAAGAAGACCTATTTTCTCTTCATTCCCAGAAAGATGGACCACACACTTGGATTCTAACTTACAGAATGTGCAAAGACAAAATTCAACAGATTACATGTTTCACTGGTACAATTATGTGAAGCAGCCTGCCATATTCGACACACGCAAATTTTGTGTATACGATGCCCGTTCAGACGGAACACACTGAACTATGGGAATGTACAAGGCCACTGACAGTATGGTCTGAAATACAATCCGGTTTATGAACTTTATCCCATGGGCCTGTGTGTGTAATGGCCCTATTCAGAAAGACGAACCTAAACTCGGTCAAGCGTGCAGGACGGAGGTCAGACCAGACGCTTTATTGACATTGAGCATGGCCATACAATGATTGACTAGGCGTATTTCGAAGTTGGTTGAACTTACGCGTAATTCTGGTGTAGGTTGGCCATGTCTGGGATAGCTCACTAACTGGATTCATACTGTATCTTGATTATGGCGTTGAACAATAACTGTCACGAGAGACCTACGGAATACTGGGCGGAATTCAAAGAGAAAGTGCTGCACACTGACTGTATTTGAAAATGGAATAAATACGTTTTACAGTTAGCTAGCTGGCTTTGACATATTTGCACCTCAAATCATAAATGAACCTGGCATGTTGTGGAGAGGACTCGGCAAGTTGTTGCACAGTGAGTGACTGAGCGAGTCAGTCAGTGAGTCAGTCAGTGAGTCAGTCATGAGTCAGTCAGTCAGTCAGTCAGTCAGTCATGAGTCAGTCAGTGAGTCAGTCATGAGTCAGTCAGTCAGTCAGTGAATCAGTCATGAGACAGTCAGTGAGTCAGTCAGTGAGTCAGTCAGTGAATCAGTCATCAGTCAGTCAGTCAGTCAGTCAGTGAATCAGTCATGAGTCAGCCAGTGAGTCAGTCAGTGAGTTAGTCAGTGAGTCAGTTAGTGAGTCAGTCAGTCGTGAGTCAGTCAGTGAGTCAGTCAGTCGTGAATCAGTCAGTGAGTCAGTCAGTCGTGAATCAGTCAGTGAGTCAGTCAGTCGTGAATCAGTCAGTGAGTCAGTCAGTGAGTTATTGAGCATGGCCATATTATTACCTGTGGCACAATCAGTGCTACTCGACGTGTGGTGTAGTGGACAGTGTACATACTGGTGGAGTGAACTATATCATTACAGACCATAGTTTTCTGTTAATTCTGACGCACGCGCACGCGCACACACACACACACACACACACACAAAACAAACACCATATATATCGATGCTCATGATATTGATCACTGCATTGTCTGGTCCGGACTCGATTATTTACAGACGACCGACCGCCGCCATATAGCTGAAAGATTGCTGAGTGCGGCGTTCAACAGCAAAGCAATCAACCAACAAGATATTGACTCAACACTAGTTTCCCCCTAAGCATTTAACAACTTTAACTTCAGGGAGTGATTACGGTTGATTAATATTATATATATTTGTGTGTGTGTGTATGTGTGTGTGTGTGTGTGCGTGCGTGCGTGCGTGCGTGCGTGCGTGCGTGCGTGCGTGCGTGCTATATGTCGCATACACTGTATATCATCATGAGTTGGTACGTAAGTCCCAAAACTTTCAAAGTTAAATGTAAATTTACCACATTTTAATCGTAGTATTTTTGTGCTTTTAACTTCCGGCTAAATTTTCCTACAATCGCCAGCGGCTGAAGGGATGTTGTAAATCCAACTAGGGTCCATGCAGGTAGCACAGGTACTGTAAGTCCCCATGGTCCCTAGTATGGTGAACTACCTTCAGTTGCTGGTGATCTATAGCCTATTTTATATTGTGTTGTCCTCTAAAAGCTAAAATGTTTTAGATTTAATTACTAGTTTTACATTTATATCTGTGATATTCTAGTTGTTTTACTATCCTTCGTTGACAGGATTTTATACTCTATCTTTAATTATTGTTAATATATATATATGTTGTTTTAGTCACGATATGGCTGAAATATTGCCAATGTGACTTTAAATTTTAACTCACTCACTCACTCATCATGAGTTGAGGCAATGAATATGCATAATATCATGAGGATCAACAATTAGGTCAAGGTGTGTGTCATCCGTAGATTATTATGGAATATTCTGGACAGAAATTGGCGTGTAACGCAGTCAGTGTTCACCTGAAAAGCGCAAGCTGAGGATGGGGAATACAAACTAAGTCGGACGTGCACATGCTTACGAACAGCTGGAAACTGAGGTCTTGGTTTCATGTAGCAATCAGTAAGTTCATGAATGTATGCCTGTACTGTAAAAACCGTTGTCACTTTTGTAATCTTATCAACATTTTATTGCCTCAATGATCTGATATAACATTTCCGGAATTTAAGTGAGCTACAGAGCCTGCTTGACACATTGAGGGAATGTGTAACGATACAAGGTTAAAATGAAAAATGCTGGAGTATGATTTTAGGATTTGTTCGTTGGATACATCTGGTTCCGCAGGTATTGAATATGACAGTTATGCTAATGGTATGCAAATAACATTCGTCAGCTTTTGTAGACAGTTTCATTAACTGTCCCCCGCATGATATCGTGGAATATTGCTAAAAGTCGCATAAAACCATCCTTACTCATTCCTTCACTCTGGTAAAATGAGTATCCTTACGTCTTGAACTAAGTAACCGATTAGGGTTAATCAGTTTAAAATCAAATTTTGAAAATACCTTTTCTTCTTAAACCTGGGGCGGTGGGGTAGCCTAGTGGTTAAAGCGTTCACTCGTCACGCTGGTTCGATTCCCCACATGGGTACAATATGTGAAGCCCATTTCTAGTGTCCCCGCCGTGATATTGCTGGAATATTGCTAAAAGCGGCGTGAAACTAAACTCACTCACTCGCTCACTTTCAAAACCTTCTTTTGAATCCAAAAAGCAAACACTTAATATGCATAATTGAGTTTTATTTAAACTGTTGGCTACTGGCTAATCAAAGCGATATTAGCGCTGTGAGAGATCGATCATTGCCCAGCTGTTTAAGTATCTATATTTACAAATTGCAACAACAGCAACCAAAACACCAATATAATATCGATCCACTGTTTTATCTGCGATCAACCATACATTTGTAACATAAACAATACATCACACAAGAACAGCTTGCCGTAATACATAATACAGTATCTTTATGTTAATAATGAGACCTTTTATTAACTGCTGTAAAATGAATATCTGTTTATGCTGCGGACTAATGCCATGTTAAAGTATCCGGTACTCACTGAAACACACAAATCAGAAACACATAAAGTCTATCTTACAAATGTCACACAAAATACCAGTATAAATAATACATCAATAGTATTTCCACTGTCCAAGCATATTCATAGTATAAGTCTGTATCGATTACTAAAGCTAAAATAATAGTTTAAAAAAGGCGCAAAAAAGGAGATCCTAGTCGGAATGGGACCCCACTACCTCAACCGCTTCATCGGGGCAAGGGTGGCCCAGTATCATTAGGCGCCGCAATGTGCTGTACAGAGTTGCGTACCTTGGACACGCCAGGAAAGTATGATCGTGGCCGTAATCTGTTAATAGGTTTGTCAGCAGCATGCCCGTGCTCGTTGGTATCATCGAAGTAGCATAGCTTTCGGGCTTTCCCTAAACCCACCCCACTCACTCACTCGCTCAATCACTCGATGAACTCACTCACTCACTCACTCACTCATGGCTATACAAAATGAATGTTGCTTATCGCCGCACCAACGGTGTTTCTGTAGAGGAAGATGTCTAGATGAACTATTTACTATCGGGTCCGGTGCCATCGTGTTGACAGGGTACTGTGGTCGTACTGCTGAGAATAAACAGCATATCGTCACCTGACCAAACTGGTTATAGAGCTTAATTCAGGTTAAATTAAAACATAAGTACGTATAGTAATTGTAGTACAAGACGGTTCCAATTTCTGTCGAGAGCGACAGTCCCTTCATTTCAAGCAATAACCTGCAGACACGTTTAAAAAAGATTCAACGTATCCCCAACTAATATCAATACATTATAAGATCGATTATTTACCAGCTGGCGTAATATAAGTAGGTTATTTCTGACTCCGACATAGCTGGGCTATATTTTTGTCTGTCTAAGACCGCAATACGTTCTGTAGCTGATGCATTGTAACAATGTTTAAACTGCTTACTCAACAGAACTACATGTTGTTATACCTCAATCACTGGATGAGCATTATGTCACACCACATAATAACAAATAGCTATCAATGGAAAACTACCAAGATGGCACTTAAATGACAATGGAATTCCAGAACAGACCACCATCATGGCGTGTAAGGGATGACAGCTGATCCTCTGAACTGTTATGCTAGTCCCCGTCAGTGCGAAGGTATTCAGCAAAACGTATAATCTCATGTCCGAAATAGGATGGTCAAGGTCGAGTTTCCCTTGGGTTCCTTGACAGGACGAATATACATCAACCAGACACGTAGATGATCCTTGTCGCTTGTATGTTGTCACCGTGAACAGATGTACTTGTTGTCTACCTTCACTCCACTGTTTGTTGTGTCGTGTTGTGTCCCTCACGCAGTGAAGTCAAGCACAGCCGCAAAGAGTATAGTTCTTTCACTGGATAATAAAAGTATAAGAGCATCTTTGATGACAAGATGATGTACATTGTTTGTTATTGGCCAGAACAAGCCCTGAAACGTTGTACTCGAGAATAAAAAGAAGATGTAACCCAGAAAAAATCTCTATGTTCAATATTCCAGCTATTATACGGCGGTCTGCAAATATTCTAGACTAGATAATCCAGTGATTAATATCATTAATATAAATGTACGCAACTGGGATGCGATGGCATCTGATGACAAGATGATGACAACATGTCGTAAACAGAGGCTACTAATAATGTAACATAATTGCTTTAAACTATAACAGCTGAAAACCAATTCGACACATCACCAAGCTACCATTTCGTACACGATAAATATCCTCAGCTAAGCCAAGGATTTAAACATCACACAGTCTGAATTTATTTTTATTTTTGTGCTACATTGAAGGTCAGAAAGGAAATGTTAGAAAATTCTAAATGAAATGTTAAGAGCTTAAAAACTTTAAATTGAAATATACTATGACATCCCTTTATGTGTGGCATTTACCCAATCCCAAGGATGATAGAACAACAATGTGTCATATTTTTTTCCTGGCATGAACATGACTTGCATGTTATTGTTTACGATTTTTACATTTTGCTTCAGTAAGTAATTTGGCTTATCTGAATATTTTTCTATGTATTGCGTGAATCACTTGTCAAGCCGAAGACCATGGTTGGATTCTGAACACGAGTACGTGTAAATGTAATATGGCCTTAAGCTTCCTTACTTAAGTTATGAAAAACTCATGAAAGAGATGACCTACCCTGGTTTGTTGTGTGACCGTCCCTCCACCGTTGACCTTATTAGCTATCTCCTGCATACGTTGTCCAAGAGACTGCCACTGGCTGCTAAGTCGCTCGTGAAGTAACGCATTGGAGGCTAAAGTGCCAGACGTACCGAAAATCAGGCCATCAAAGTGTCTGATTTCCACATCCTGTGCATCTGCTGTCGGAGTCATCACTGAGGAAGGGCTCATCGTTGAGGGTAGGCCCGTGCTCTGTACAGAATTTGGGAAGGTACTTCCTTCAAAGGACGTGATAGTTTGTGTTCCAAGGGGAGTGGCGGTTCTTACTTCCATGGGTTTGGCAGAACTCACTTCAAGGGACGTGGCAATGTTGATTTCAGGATGTGAGGCGGTTCTTACTTCAAAGGGTTTGGCAGTACTCGCTTCAAAGGGTGTTGCGGTTCTTACTTCAAAGGGTTTGGCAGTACTCGCTTCAAGGGGTGTTGCGGTTCTTACTTCAAAGGGTTTGGCAGTGTTGACTTCAGGGTGTATGGCAGATCTTACTTCAAACGGTGTGGCAGTGTTGATTGATGGAGTAACATCGCTCTTTTCAGACGGCGTGATAGTACGCGCTTCAAGACGGGTGGCGGTTCTTACTTCAAAGGGTTTGGCAGTACCTTCTTCAAGTGGTGTGGCGGTTCTCATTTCAAAGGGTTTGGCAGTACTGACCTCAAGGGATATAGCAGTGGCTATTTTAAACGGCGTGACAGTGCTAGAAGTAGACGAGACCCTGTTTATATTCTCAATTTCCATAGAACCTAACGATTGGTTTATTCTATTGATTTTTCTGTTTCTACTTTTGTTGGTACCGTCTCCTAAGACTGTAGGAGTATGACCTGACATGGCTCTGATGTCAGGCACAAACTGTCTGTTGGTTATCGATACCGTAGGTGTACTAGTTGGAAGGGTTGCATGCTGGGACTGGTCCTAACAGACGAGGTAACACACCACGTATTGGTTTGGGTGTCACCAGCAAACGTTGCACAATGAACGGGGAAGGGTTACTTGTTTGAGTGTGTCTCCCTGACCCGCGTAAGAAACTAAAGTGTCTGAGGACATGGCTGTGTTCTGGCCATTGACCATGAGAATGATGAATGTGAGATAGAATTCGTAATGGTGTCGGAGCCCCAGGTCCTGTCCTAGGCCTGTAAAAAGGGACTACAGTTCCAATAAAATCCATCATTGGATTTATGTCAACATCAAATTGTTTTGCACCCATTGCACGATTCACTGTCGAACTAGGGAACCTTCCACCATCCACTGTTCTACTCCAAGGAACACCCGGCCTCCTTCCAACGTCATGGCTACCCCTCCTCTTTTCAAAGTTGACACCCGGTGTCCATAAATCTGACCCAGCACTGACAGGAATTGAGTTATGTTTGCCAACACGTCCATCATCTTTTGTATTCCATGTGACACCGGGTGTCCTTTCAAAAGCTTTACCACCCTTTCTGCCATCTGATGGAGTTTGTACAATCTGGTCGTTTAAGGTATCTTTCAAAGCACGTCCATCGACATCGACGTTTTTACTCCATATAACACCAGGTCTTTTTACAATGTGTTTACTACTCTTTTGTTGGCCAGGGACATTTTGTGAAGCTTGACCAGGACTAAGTGAGATATCTATATTAACGCGTCCACTATTTGTTAACAGTTTGACGTTCCTTTCTGTTGGGTCACAGTTAGGGTCGAATATGGCGTCTGTGCGTTTCCTCCCATGGGGCCATGGTGTCCCAAGATACCGCAGGGAGCCAGCTTCGCCTCTAGATACAACACGATCTGGCGGGTTCGGCGTCCCTCTTAGGTAATGTGGTACTGCATCTTAACAACGAAAGAGAAACATCAAACCAGGAAAAACATCAAACCAAGAGAAATATCAAACCTAAAGAAATATCAAACCTAGAGAAACATCAAACCTAGAGAAATATCAAACCTAGAGAAATATCAAACCTAGAGCAACATCAAACCAAGAGAAACATCAAACCTAGACAAACATCAAACCAAGAGAAACATCAAACCTAGACAAACATCAAACCTAGACAAACATCAAACCTAGAGAAACATCAAACCTAGACAAACATCAAACCTAGAGAAACATCAAACCTAGACAAACATCAAACCAAGAGAAACATCAAACCTAGACAAACATCAAACCTAGACAAACATCAAACCTAGAGAAACATCAAACCTAGACAAACATCAAACCTAGAGAAACATCAAACCTAGAGAAACATCAAACCTAGACAAACATCAAACCAAGAGAAATATCAAACCTAAAGAAATATCAAACCTAGAGAAACATCAAACCTAGAGACACATCAAACCTAGAGAAACATCAAACCAAGAGAAACATCAAACCTAGAGAAACATCAAACCAAGAGACACGGATCGTGGCTATTTGGTTTTCTTGACTAGCAATGTCATTTCTTCGCTGGATAATAATTCAAGAATAGATGTCGATAAAACCAGTTTTTACCTTGGCTTGTTTCTTTGTGGAGAAAGATTACCCTTGTTTGCACAACCGTCAGCAACATCATCATCACCAGCAGCATTGCGAACAGTTGTCTAGAAGGAGGGAACGTGAAAACTGGAAGCCAGGGATATCTGTTTAACAGTAATATACAAATCATGTCACCATCTAATAGCTGGAATACTGATGTTTGTGGCACTGGTGGGAATCTGCTTTACGCCGCACTTAGTAATGTTCTGATGTCTCTTACGAATACTGATGTTTGTGGCCGCACTTAGTAGTAATGTTCAAATGATGTCACCATCTTATAGCTTGAATACTGATGTTTGTGGCACTGGTGTGGATCTGCTTTACGCCGCACTTAGTAATGTTCAAATGATGTCACCATCTTATAGCTTGAATACTGATGTTTGTGGCACTGGTGTGGATCTGCTTTACGCCGCACTTAGTAATGTTCAAATGATGTCACCATCTTATAGCTTGAATACTGATGTTTGTGGTACTGGTGTGGATGTGCTTTACGCACTGCACTTAGTAATGTTCAAATGATGTCACCATCTTATAGCTTGAATACTGATGTTTGTGGCACTGGTGTGGATGTGCTTTACGCCGCACTTAGTAATGTTCAAATGATGTCACCATCTTATAGCTTGAATACTGATGTTTGTGGCACTGGTGTGGATGTGCTTTACGCCGCACTTAGTAATGTTCAAATGATGTCACCATCTTATAGCTTGAATACTGATGTTTGTGGCACTGGTGTGGATGTGCTTTACGCCGCACTTAGTAATGTTCAAATGATGTCACCATCTTATAGCTTGAATACTGATGTTTGTGGTACTGGTGTGAATCTGCTTTACGCCGCACTTAGTAATGTTCAAATGATGTCACCATCTTATAGCTTGAATACTGATGTTTGTGGCACTGGTGTGGATCTGCTTTACTGATGTTTGTGGTACCGCACTTAGTAATGTTCAAATGATGTCACCATCTTATAGCTTGAATACTGATGTTTGTGGTACTGGTGTGAATCTGCTTTACGCCGCACTTAGTAATGTTCAAATGATGTCACCATCTTATAGCTTGAATACTGATGTTTGTGGAACTAAACAACCGCAACATTTGACCTATGTGATCTGTATATGTTTCTATTATATCTCTATGATATCATATAAATAGTGATGTTTTATTACAAAATATGAAATGACATGAATGATACATAGGGTGCGTGGACGTTAACGCATTAATGATATTGTATCAACCCCATTATAGACAGGTTACTGTTTTCTTATGAACCTTTTGAAATTTTGTGAAATGAGTGCTGTGTAGGCTTGCAACGGATCCACTGTGCGGCGAATATGATATATATCACGAATAGTGGGCACCAAAATCAGTAACACGTCACCTGTTGATGCATTATTCAGTATCTGTGAAACACATCAAATTATTCTTTGACATGTTTGACCATGTTAACAGTGTTGGCAAAAATTATCACTGACCACATTACTCTCAGATTAATTAAATTCTATTAGAGTGTTGACTATTATTCTGTCTTGCTTGGATATAGTCAGCTTTGCACGTCTCACTTTCATGAATAACACCAATTCAAGTCAATTCAATCTTTTTGTTAAAAAGAGTGAATATTCCATTTTTGTGATTGCGGGCAACGAATTGAATTCATTAAGGGATACAGTTCGACTCTCCCAACATGCGAGTGATTCGTTACAGCGCTGGTGTTGATGTACATGTACATATATACCAGATGTCATGCAATCAGTAAAATAGAGCATTGGAAACCTCATCAAACAGATCTACACCACCGTTTGGGATAACTGCATGATAAGACAATGTGGGGTAACGTTCTGTGCTTTCTTTAACGTTTAAAACAAGTATACAGAAACAATCATATATTAACATGACCTTTCGACAAAACTTACGTTTCGGCTGTTTACTGTACCGACAAGTATCTGTCGCTCGTGTTGACTTGACGGATCCAAGGGCCTTCTAACGTCTCCGTCATCTGAAACTGTTTTATAATAATGTGCATGTCAACGTCATGGTAGAGGTCGTGATTTCCGACTCGTCATGCATGGATGCGGATAAGCATGACACATGATGTCGACAAATTAACCTCTCAGGCATGACTGGTTGGTTGATGATAATTTGGGATTCTTTCACCATGAATATTTCAGGGGGGGGGGGGATTTAGCCTCGCTGCTGCTTCGTGGATAAATATTTATGAAGTGAGAGGTACCGGAACAGGTAGATGATGTTTATGACGTCAAGATGCCGTCACACATTCTAAGTGTCCTTTGTGATGACTGGTACTCATGATATGGCAATACGTTACTTGCAGTTTACAACGTTTTAAACCTAGTTTGAGAGAGCGAGAGTATGCATGTATGTATGTATGTATGTATGTATGTATGTATGTATGTATGTATGTATGTATGTATGTATGTATGTATGTATGTATGTATGTATGTATGTATGTATGTATGTATGTATGTATGTATGTATGTATGTATGTATGTATGTATGTATGTGTATGTATGTGTGTGTGTATGTATGTATGTAGGTAGGTAGGTAGGTAGATAGGTATGTATGTATGTATGTATGTATGTATGCATGCATGCATGCATGTATGTATGTATGCATGCATGTATGTATGTATGTATGTATGTATGTATGTATGTATGTATGTATGTATGTATGTATGTATGTATGTATGTAGGTAGGTAGGTAGGTAGGTAGGTAGGTAGGTAGGTAGGTAGGTAGGTAGGTAGGTAGGTATATGTGCGTGTGTGTTTGTTTGTGAATGTATGTATATACAGCCACACACAACAGTGTTGTGTTTACCGATAAATACAATCAGTTGTGTACATTTGCCTCTTCAATTCTCAGAGGTCTCATATGATCATGGGGCCCAAAAGAGTGGAAATGGAAATGGCTATCTCAAGGTATCGATTCTTGACTTCAAGTATACATCGCGAGTTTCGGTAATGGAATCTGTTTCGTCAGATAACTAAGACGTGTTATTTCCATGACGTTCATGTTTTGAAGTCATCAGGTCATCGTCATGAATGTATATACCTTGTCAACATTCTTAAAATGACAAGTAGTAGTTAAACCTTCCCGGCCAGTACAGTACTGCAATTACGACGTTCATTTAGAGATGTGGACGGACGTGGGATACACTGGGCTTATTTAGGAGGTTGTCTTACAAGTGTCATCTGTTCTGTCACAAGACAAAAGATGCGGACACGATGATGCGGAAGTGCCAACATCACACACGGACATAGTAGATAGATGACTAGGTATGTACCGCGACATGTGGGTCGCTGTGACAAAAGCGGGGGCGGTAGGAGAGAATTAATTATATGCCATAGTTAGATGTGTACGGCGGTCGTCGTTGTGACTCAAGCAGTGATCTGAGAGGCACAAGTCAAGTATTTATTTCGTATGAAGGCCACTGGTCAATATACGTGATATTTACATAAATATACAACAGTCCATGTTAATGTTACCAGTCAATGTTAATGTTACCACTCCATGTTGATGTTACCACTACATGTTGATATTACCAATCAATGTTGATGTTACCAAAACATGTCAGTGTTACCAGTCCATGTCAGTGTTACCGGTCCATGGTACCGCCCCATGTTATTGTTACCACTCCATTTCATTGTTACAAAACATGTCAGCGTTACCAGTCCATGTTACCGCCCCATGTTCATGTTACCACTCCATGTTGATGTTACCACTACATGTTGATATTACCAATCAATGTTGATGTTACCACATGTCATGTTGATATTACCAATCAATGTTGATGTTACCAAATTGTTACAAAACATGTCAGTGTTACCAGTCCATGTTCAGTGTTACCAGTCCATGGTGTTACCGCCCAGTCCATGTCATGTTACCGCCCCATGTTAATGTTACCACTCCATTTCATTGTTACAAAACATGTCAGCGTTACCAGTCCATGTTACCGCCCCATGTTCATGTTACCACTCCATGTCATTGTTGCAAAACATGTCAATGTTACCACTCCATGTCATTGCTACAAAACATGTCAATGCGTTACCAGTCCATGTTACCGCCCTATGTTACTGTTACCACTCCATGTCATTGTTACAAAACATGTCAATGTTACCGGTCCATGTTACTGTTACCACTCCATGTCATTGTTACAAAACATGTTAATGTTGCCAGTCCATGTTACCGCCCTATGTTACTGTTACCGCCCCATGTTACTGTTACCACTCCATGTCATTGTTACAAAACATGTCAATGTTACCGGTCCATGTTACTGTTACCACTCCATGTCATTGTTACAAAACATGTTAATGTTACCAATCCATGTTACCGCTCCGTGTTCATGTTACCGCTCCATGCTGTAACAAGACCATGTGACCACACCATGTCATTGTTCCCACTCGATGTTAATGTTCAATCAAGGCCATATGTAGTCACCTCGTGTATCGTACAAAGTACGTCACCTAGTTTCGTGTTCACTTATAAAACATTTTTTTCGAGTTTTTGTAAAAATAATAAGCACACAAAAAACAAACAAAAAGCGACGTTATATTGATAAATGACAATAAAAACAATGAAAACTGCAAACATTATTTCAAAAGATGCACAAAAAACAAAGTCATAAAGCATATTTTAATGATAAGGAAACTGCTACGTACAGGTCCGTGTAATCTTCAGTGAACATTGGACATGTGTATAAGGAAGTGTGTACAGAAGGACATCACAACAACTTTGAGACGTCGCGACATTCGGATTCGCTACAAAGAAAGAAATTTATTTTTTTTTAAATTGCAATGACATTGCATTCTGCCATTCACGCAAAAATGATTCGTGATCTATTTTCAATTATTTTCAAAGGGGATTTTGTGGGGGAAATTATCTGAAAATATGAAAATTGTTTGATGGATGGTTAAATCATGTTTCTGACGTGATACGTTAAAAAGAGCGTTTAATATGTTTTTGTTCCAGGAGCAAATGTGTGAAGGCTTTACGTCATAACTGATTGATGTTGAAAATGTGTGTAGGGCGGATCCCTCAACTTATTAATACGTAATACGTTTGGTGACCTGACTTTCATCTCTGTAGCTATAAGTTATAATTATGTTTGGTGGAACTTTGAGTGAATCATGGATAGTAAAACAGACAGTAGTATTTCCGATTCTCAACGGATACAGATAGGTAGTATTTGGGATTCTCAACAGACACAGATAGGTACTATTGGCGATTCTCAACAGATACAGATAGGTACTATTGGCGACTCTCAACAGACACAGATAGGTAGTATTTGCGATCTCTCAACAGACACGGATAGGTAGTATTTGCGATCTTCAACAGAGACACAGATAGGTAGTATTTGCGCTTCTCAACAGATACAGATAGGTAGTATTTGGGATTCTCAACAGACACAGATAGATAGTATTTGCGATTCTCAACAGACACAGATAGGTAGTATTTGCGATTCTCAACAGATACAGATAGGTAGTATTTGGGATTCTCAACAGACACAGAGAGGTAGGGATTCTCAACATTATTTGCGATTGTCAACAGACACAGATAGGTAGTATTTGCAATCTTCAACAGATACAGATAGGTAGTATTTGGGATTCTCAACAGACACAGATAGGTAGTATTTGCGATACTCAACAGACACAGATAGGTAGTATTTGCGATTCTCAACAGATACAGATAGGTAGTATTTGGGATTCTCAACAGACACAGAGAGGTAGTATTTGCGATCTTCAACAGACACAGATAGGTAGTATTTGGGATTGTCAACATACACAGATAGGTAGTATTTGCGATCTTCAAAAGACACAGATAGGTAGTATTTGCGATTCTGAACAGTGACAGATAGGTAGTATTTGCGATTCTCAAAAGACACAGATAGGTAGTATTTGCGATTCTCAACAGACACAGAGAGGTAGTATTTGCGATTCTCAACAGACTCAGATAGGTAGTATTTGCGATTCTCAACAGATACAGATAGGTAGTATTTGCGATCTTCAACAGACACAGATAGGTACTATTTGGGATTCTCAACAGACACAGATAGGTAGTATTTGCGATCTTGAAAAGACACAGATAGGTAGTATTTGCGATTCTCAACAGGCACAGATAGGTAGTATTTGCGATTCTCAACATACACAGATAGGTATTATTTGCGATTCTCAACAGATACACATAGGTAGTATTTGCGATCTTCAACAGACACAGAGAGGTAGTATTTGGGATTCTCAACATACACACATAGGTAGTATTTGGGATTCTCAACAGATACAGATACAGATAGGTAGTATTTGAGATTCTCTACAGATAGGTAGTATTTGGGATTCTCAACATACACACATAGGTAGTATTTGCGATTCTCAACAGATACAGATAGGTAGTATTAGCGATTCTCAACAGATACAGATAGGTAGTATTTGAGATTCTCAACTGATACACATAGGTAGTATTTGCGATCTTCAACAGATACAGATAGGTAGTATTTGGGATTCTCAAAAGACACAGATAGGTAGTATTTGGGATTCTCAACAGATACAGATAGTAAGTATTTGCGATTCTCAACAGATACACATAGGTAGTATTTGCGATCTTCAACAGACACAGATACGTAGTATTTGGGATTCTCAACAGACACAGATAGGTAGTATTTGCGATCTTGAAAAGACACAGATAGGTAGTATTTGCAATTCTCAACAGACACAGATAGGTAGTATTTGCGATTCTCAACAGACACAGATAGGTAGTATTTGCGATTCTCAACAGATACAGATAGGTAGTATTTGCGATCTTCAACAGACACAGATAGGTAGTATTTGGGTTTCTCAACAGACACAGATAGGTAGTATTTGCGATTCTCAACAGATACAGATAGGTAGTATTTGCGATTCTCAACAGACACAGAGAGGTAGTATTTGCGATTCTCAACAGACACAGATAGGTAGTATTTGGGATTGTCAACATACACAGATAGGTAGTATTTGCGATCTTCAAAAGACAGAGATAGGTAGTATTTGCGAATCTGAACAGTGACAGATAGGTAGTATTTGCGATTCTCAAAAGACACAG